CTACGACTACTACTACGACTACTACTACGACTACGACTACGACTACGACTACGACTACGACTACGACTACGACTACGACTACGACTACGACTACGACTACGACTACGACTACGACTACGACTACGACTACGACTACGACTACGCTACTACTACTACTACTACTACTACTACTACTACTACTACTACTACTACTACTACTACTACTACTACTACTACTACTACTACTACTACTACTACTACTACTACTACTACTACTACTACTACTACTACTACTACTACTACTACTACTACTACTACTACTACTACTACTACTACTACTACTACTACTACTACTACTACTACTACTACTACTACTACTACGACTACTACTACTACTACTACTACTACTACTACTACTACTACTACTACTACTACTACTACTACTACTACTACTACTACTACTACTACACTACGACTACGACTACGACTACGACTACGACTACGACTACGACTACGACTACGACTACGACTACGACTACGACTACGACTACGACTACGACTACGACTACGACTACTACTACTACTACTACTACTTCTACTACTTCTACTACTACTACTACTACTACTACTTCTACTACTACTACTAGTACTACTACTACTACGACTACTACTACTTCTACTACTACTACTACTACTACTACTACTACTACTACTACTACTACTTTGCCTGCGTGAGATCGCCGGTGCGCCGAGCTAGCCTGAGCCAAGGTGTTTACAGCTCTGGATAAGACGCAAGCTCTCGTCCGCGCATCCCCCAACCCCACACGCAGCCCTATCGCGTCAAGGAAGCGCCACGCCTGCCGCGCCCCGTGGGCATGAACTGGGTACACCCTGCGAAATGCTTAAGAAATCATGGGTTAAGAAATTCATAGTCTCAGAATTTGAATAAAAACCCAACAATTCTATCCAAATCTTAGGATTTACATTGCAACGTTAAGAATAAACGAGACTCTGGCCGAAAACTTAAGTTTTCTTAAGCATCGCCTAAGGTGTACTGGGGAAGAGGTCGGGAGCTCCCATCTGCGCGCCCCCACAGCGCCCCTCTGCGGCGTCGAAGACGTGCCACGCCTGCCACGTGTTGCGAGCCCGACACGGATAGTCGGACCACCCCCATTGCATCCCTGGGTGGTGTCGAGGAAGTGCCACGTCTTCCACGCGTTGCGAGCCCGAAACGGATAGGGAGACCACACCCAGCGCACTCCCCTTGCGTGTTGACGCAGTGCCACGCGTGCCACGCTTTGCGAGCAGGAAACGGATAGGGAAACCACCTCCAGCGCACCCCCATGTGGTGTCGAGAATGTGCCACGCCGGCCACACTTTGCGAGCCCGAATCGGACAGGGGAATCAGCCCCAGCGCACCCCCTGTGGTGTCGAGGGAGTGCCACGCCTGTCACGCTGTGCGAGCCCGAAACGGGGAGCGGAACCACCCCCTGCGCACCCCTGCGGTGTCGAGGAAGTGCCACGCTTGCCGAGCTCTGCGAGCAGGAAGCGTACAGGGGGACAACCCCCACCGCACCCCCTGTGGTGTCGAGGAAGTGCCACACTTGCCACGCTCTGCGAGCCCGAAACGGATAGGGGGACCACTCCAAGCGCCACCCCTGCGGTGTCGAGGAAGTGCCAAACCAGCAACGCTTTGCATACCCGCAACGAGGGGGACCACCCCTGCGCACCCCTTGTGGTGTCGAAGAAATACCACGCGTGCCACGCTTTGCGAGCACGATCATATGAAACATGTGGGTCAGGCTGCATGTGTACGTGTTTCATGTGGGTGCCCAGCATATGAGGCATGCGTCTTCGGTGAATGATGGAATTAACCCGCCAGCTTTGCACTAGCGATGTAAGGTGCGTGTGTGCGTGTGCGTGTGCGTGTGGGTGTGTGGGTGTGTGGGTGTGTGGGTGTGTGGGTGTGTGGGTGTGCGGGTGTGTGGGTGTGGGTGTGTGGGTGTGTGGGTGTGTGTGTGGTGTGTGTGGTGTGTGGTGTGTGGTGTGTGTGTGTGTGCGTGGTGTGTGTGTGGTGTGTGGGTGTGTGGGTGTGTGGGTGTGTGGGTGTGTGGGTGTGTGGGTGTGTGGGTGTGTGGGTGTGTGTGGTGTGTGTGTGTGGGTGTGTGGGTGTGTGGGTGTGTGGTGTGTGTGGTGTGTGTGCGTGTCTGCGTGCGTGTGTGTGCGAGAGAGAGGACCCTGACCTCGTCTGCGAAAGCGTGCCTCCAACCGTTGTCGGTGAACTCGGGAGCTTCTCTAGGTTCCCCGGCCTTCGGACGCCGACGGCCGCTTCTTAGCACTCTTGGACTCTTGCGTCACAGCATACACCCTGCGAAATGCTCAAGAAATCATGGGTTAAGAAATTCACAGTCTCAGAACTTGAATAAAAAACCCAAATTCCCATTCGAATCTTAGGATTTACATTGAAACATTAAGAATAATCGAGACCCTGGCCGAAAATTTAAGTTTTCTTAAACATCGCTTAAGGTGTAGGCGGCGTAGAGCCGACCCCGAGCTCCACAGATTCCGCCCCGATCTGAGCCAAGACCTTCCTAGATCTCCCGGGGCCACCAGGACGGTCAGTCCCGACGGCATCCCAGGGAGGCTGCAGACGAACAGTGGTATATTGATATGCGGACAGCGGCCGCTGAGGCCGACGCCGAGGCCTTTTTTGGCTGCGGATGCCGATCCTGATCCTCCTTCTCCTGTTTCGCTCCCTCCTCGCACCTTGACGTCGTCGTCGTCGTCTGACCCTCGCCCCCATCCTCGTCCTCGTCCTCGTCCTCGTCCTCGTCCTCGTCCTCGTCCTCCGCCTCCTCCTCCTCCTCCACCTTAGCCTTGAGCGAGGCTCCGAAAGCCCGCGTGGAGGCCGACAGACAGATCGCGGGCGCCCGCCGTGAGGCCCGGCGTCGCGAGGAGCACGCGAGGCGCGCGCCCTGCACGGCAGACGGCACCCCTCGGGGCGCCGGCTGTCGGCCGGGGAAGGTCCGCTGTGCGGCCAGTGTTTGGCCCCGCCAGGCACGGCGGACGGGCGGGGGGCTGCCGAGGCCGCGCCTGCTGCCACCGCCGTGGCCTCCTCGCTCTTCCCCTGAGCTCGGCGCAGGCGCTTCTGGTCTCAGAGCCCGTGCGCCCCCCGCCGTGCACCGCCGTGCTGCACCGTGGGCGGCGCAGGAGCCGAGGTCCCGAGAGCTGGGATTCTGAGGGAGGAGAAGAAGGAGGGGGAGGAGGAGGAAGAGGAGGAGGAGGAGGAGGAGGAGGAGGAGGAGGAGGAGGAGGAGGAGGAGGGGGAGGAGGAGGAGGGAGAGGAAGAGGAGGAGGAGGAGGAGGAGGAGGAGGAGGAGGAGGAGGAGGGGGAGGGGTGGGGGCGCCACCGGCAGACGCGCAGCCCTGCCTGTTCTCAGGACCCCGTCCCTACGGACCCACCTTTTCAACCACCGACGTCGGGAGCACGTGCCGTCGCGGGGCCGCGCGTCGCCTCGACAACCCTCCCTCGGTGCACCCTCCTCTCGCGTCGGGCATCCCCTGGCCGCGTTCGCGGCGCCCCAACTCGTGCCGCAAAAAACGCAGATAGTGCCCGCACCAGCACAAAAAAAAAACGCAAAAAACGCAGAAACGCAGATAAACACAAAAAAACACAGAAAAACGCAAAAACGCAAAAAACGCACGTGCCGCAAAAACGCAGAAAAACGCAAAAACGCCCCAGCACCTCCTTCCCGCAGATAGTGCCACGAGAGCGCGCACCGCCTACACGCTGCTGGCATGACCGGTATTTGGGGAGCGAGGCGTGGGCGCCATGCTTGGCTCTTCTGGCGATGCTCGGCGCTCCACTTTGCTCAGCCAGAGCTCGCCCCGTGCGACGCCTCTCTCCCTCGATGCACCCCCCTCGGTGCTCCCCTCCCTCCCTCCCTCCGCGCTGCCGCGACAGGGGTCCGAGAGCAGAGGGGGTCGGCGATCGCGCCGCATCCCAGATGCAGCGGTGACGCACTGGCGATGCACTGGCGACGTCGACGGTGTATCGGCGACGTCGGCGTGGATAAAAGCTGCGCTCAACATCAAGCCGCATCACTGATGCGTCGGCGATGCGGCGCAATCCTACGACCCCACTTGCTCGGACCCCATCCATCAGCGGCGAGCGAGGGGTAAGAGAGAAAGAGAAGGCCTTCTCAGAAGTCTCGGAACCCCCCTGGCCCCTGGCCCTGTGAGAAGTTGTCGATGCCTCCCCCGAAGACACAGACACCTTCTCAGAAGGACCGAGGGCTTCTGAGAAGTCCCGCCGCCTTCTGAGAAGGCCAACTCCTTCTCACTTCCACGCCTCGCTCGCCGTCGAGTGAAGAAAGTCGTGCTCCGCATCGAGCAGCATCGCCGATGCATCCGCGATGCGGCGCGATCCTCCGACCCCATCTGCTCCGACCCCATCTGGGAAGCAGGGCTCGACATGTTGCTCGTTTCCGCATCGGTTTCGGTATCCCTCGTTCTGTCTCCGAGCCGCCGTTGCTTCAAAACGAAGTCGAACCGATAACGGCCCACGACATCGCCAAAATACTGTTTAAACCGACGCCATCTAGGAGGCGTGCTCCATCCTACACCCTGCGAAATGCCTAAGAAATCATGGGTTAAGAAATTCAGAGCCTCAGGATTTGAATACAAACCCAAAACGTCTATCAAACTCATAGGATTCACATTGAAACATTAAAATAATCGAGACTCTGGCCGAAAACTTTGAAGGGGCCCCAGGACACACAAATAAATACACACAAATAAAAAGATTCCCCATATTTTCCTATATCTTTTTAGGGTTTTCGTCTTCCCCCCCATTTCCCATATTTTCCGATATTTTCTGGGGGATCGAGGACTAATTGTGTCTGTGTGTTTTTTCCCCTCCTGAAACGTAAGTTTTTTTTAAGCGTCGCCCAAGGTGTACCCCCCTCCCTCCTCGGAGCTCCTGCCTGCCACCCCCTTCCCCTGCGGCCCCGCGGGCGCACTTCTTGGCCAGCTGCTCCTGGGACCTCTGGAGGACGTCGATCTCCTCCAGCGGCAGGGTGCGGTCGAAGAACGAGGGGGGGGCTAAACCCTAACCCTAACCCGAACCCTAACCCTAAACCCCAAACCCTAAACCTAAACCCTACACCCTACACCCTAAACCCTAAACCCTACACCGGTACAATCAGCGCACACACTAATACTATGTGTCCGCCTTGGAGGCGCGCGT